TTTCCCCTTAAACTTCTCCATTAGCTAAAATGAAGCATTTACTTAAAGGTATTGGTACGTCTCTATTAGAGCAGAACAAAAAGCATGCCTAGTGTATTTTAGACCTCTTTGGTGTTTTTGAAGGTGTTCTATAGATCCGGTATGGTCCAAACTATGTTTACAACAACGCAGATGGGGAAAACAGCAGTATATTTTCATTTAATGTAATTGGTCTTATCTAGTTATCTTTAAACCAAGTAGCTCAGAACAGCACACATTCACGGGTTCTACCATGCAGATTTTTGGCGACTGCTACTTTTTTTTTTTTTCCTCTTGGCTGGGGGGGGAGTGGGAAATCTCTGTTCAATTTACAGATTACTAATCTTGATGTTTTACCACCTAGAAAATTCATTAAAATGTACCAAAAACCCATCAGTTCATTTGGTGTGTGTATAAAGATTTGTTTATCTTTTCACCAAGAACAAAGCAAGCAGGCCTTTAGAAAACTCCACAGAAACAAAATTTATGCAGATGTTCTTTCCTTTTTGGTTTTCCTTTAATTTGCAAGTCTTGTAATCTAAGACTGAAGTTGACTGAACCAACATCTAAACCAGCATAGCAGTATCAGCCAAAAAACACAATCTGTTTCCCATTTATGTGTCAAAACTGCATCCTTTTTGGGGGCTGCAAAAAGTATTGTTTTGAAAAGATTATATAGCAAAACCATGCTAGACATTTCAGTCATTTTACTAGATGACTTTAAAAAAAAAAAAGTGTGTACCAAAAGCTAGTCAAGAAACTCAGATACAAGGTGAAAGTTTAGAAAACAAAAATTTCATCTCTCCTGGTAAAAAACTCATTGGGGAATACAAGGGTTGGGATTGGTGTCAAATCTCTTTCTCTACAGAATTTTTACATAAAACAGGTGCCAGAAATTAATTTCAGAGTGCAAATTTTAAAATTTTATGTACAATAATTTTTTTAAAAGAAGGCTCTCAACCATGACTGCCACAAAGAGATTAGGAATTAAAATTAAGAAATATTAAACTGACTGTTAAGGCCTTAATGCTGATATTCACAGGAACATAAGTTTTATCAGCATGTATTATAACAATGACTACTGTATTAAGTTACATTACAAAAGAAATGCAACTCACACACCAAGTAACTTAGAAATTGATTTTTAAGTTAGTATGTTCTTAAATCTGTGGGAGACATACTAAAAATTAACAAGATATATTTAGATCTGTCAAAAATCTGCAATTCAGTAAAATTTTAGGGCCTCTCCGCAGTAAACTACTGTATTTCTAAGTTATAAAGAAAACTTTCACTGTGTAAAAGGCAATGAAAAAGATTTCAGCAATGAAACAGAAATCTAAACGTGGATTTTGAACAAACATTATTTTGCATAAAGTACTTTTATACCCATCTCTGTTTCATAATGAAGGAAAGAAGTCCTAGCATATTATCACAGACAAAATTATTAATTGATTTTTTTCTATATTAAAGTACCTGGTACATTAGAGGGATAGCAAAAAATACTTAAGTTATTTAATATAAGTGGTATTTTGAAGCTATTAATTCATGACTACTTGAAAATTCTTTGGATTCCAGATTGACAAATGTTCTACATTAAAAAATAATACCTTTTTATCATATTTCCCTCATTGTAGTGTATTTACTTTACAGCTAAAGGAAAATAGAAGAATTTCCTGATGGTAACCACTAATGCAGACTAGTGGTCAGAACCAGGAAATCCCAGCTCCTAACTTGAACGTGTCAATATCTCAGTGATATCGTCCTAAAAAATAAAATACTATTAAATGACAGTGCAGTGGATCTAGATAAAAACTGTAGTCTATCCGATTTGTATTACTTTAATGGTTTAGCATCTTTAACACTTAAAACCTACTCATGTAATTTTCATAGCTGCTGAATTCAGATTTCTCAAGAGACTTTTTTAGGGACTTGAGTCCCTAAAAATCAGAAAACACATCAACACATTTGTAAGCACGATGACTCATCTATCATGCAAAACTGTGTACACACAGTAATAATAATTCTTTAATGTATATGTTTTCTTATGGTCAAGAATATCATGTGATAGTTGACAGCAACTCTTAGACTGCAATGAGGAGTTAAGAGCCTACTGAAGTTCTATCATAAATCGGGTGTAAAATGCATTTATTCTTCACCTTCCATCCAAAAAATTAACAACTTCAAAGCACTTCCTAGAAGACCTACTGATAATGGATTCTATTTAGATGATTGCCAGGGAAAAGAATTTACATTTAAGTATTGCCTCCAGATACAGCAGGGTCCACAAATACTCGAAAAATAAGACATGGTGCCAGCCACCAAATCTTCCAGTATGTTAACCATGTCCCTTATTTATTACTAACACTTACTTGGAAATGTCAAAATTACCAGGAATGTTCCAGTAAAAGAGTAACAGTTTGAACAGAGCAACCAGAAGTCAGAAATTTTGAAGAACAGCTAGGGAAAAATCCAAATGATAAAGAAGTCGTCAAACTATTTTTTTTCCCCCCAGAATCGTTCTCTTTGGTAAACGATTCTGATAGATTTTAGACAATAAACTAGGTAAAAATTGAACAGGAGAAAGCCAGGAGTGTTGGAAGTAGCAGAAGCACTTCAGGAGGTCACATGTTTCTCCTCTTAAAAAAAGTGACAACCCGGTGTCCTAGTGAGGACGGGGTTAAGGGCAGGGTGGCTGCGCTGGTGGAATTGTTTTCTTTTGAGACTACATCTTGCAAAGATTATGACCATAGGGCTAATGTCCTTACCATGTCCAGTCTCATTCAGTTTATATTAAAGAAAGACAATGCAGTTTCATGTGTCAGCATAACGGATTGTGTGTTGGAAGACTTGGATTTCACTTCTGGATCTGCTCTGGACTAGCTGCCTTTCAGAAAATCATTCATTCAGTCTTTTAGACGCTCCGTTTACCTTTCTGTTCAATGGGAAATATTTTAGTGTCAGTGCTACATCGTTTCACCTGCCATTTCAGTAGACAGAATAGGCCTCCTATTCCCTGCACATTTTCATTAGTGTGCTGACAGCTGCAGTATTTCATGCCATAGTCAGCATAATCTCCAAAGTAGGTGAGGAGATGACCGTAGTGAAAATCAAGTGCTTTGGAATAAATGCTCTAGAATAAATGTGGTATTTTCTTCAGATACATGATTAAACAAGGTGTTTTATCTATCCACAGCCATTAAGATATACAGCCAATGATGTTAAGAACAAAAACCTCAAGTTAAGAACTGAACTAAAATCGTGATTCAGGTTGAGAAGCCATTCGTAACACAGCTGTTCTAATGTTCTGTACAAATTCTTCTTTAGGCATAAACACCATAGAAATGTAATCCAATGATCCCTGAACGTAACAGAAGAAAAAGCAAGTGCAACACTTGAGCCAATTTAAAAGGAGTGTGACTCCAGCTGAGGGCAAACAATCAAAGAACTCTTCGTCTGAAAGCTAGTGACAAAATAGGTAATTTGCAAAGACTCTTTCAAAAATAACAGGCAATGAACAATAAACATAGTTAAGCGTTTCAGAATTTTCTGTTGACCGTTTACCACCGGGAGCAAACTGGTTCTTTATTAAATGGGTAAACAAGAGCCTGTAGAACAGACTCCTCCTTTTAATGATGTGCAAGTCATCTGGTCACAGTGGAAAGCCTGATTTAAAAATCTTCTATTTGCAGATCTTTAACTACCAAGAAGTAGTAACGCAAACCTGTTCATTTTAAAAACATACCGACTTTTTTTTTTTTTGGTAGAAAAGCAGAAACTACCAATAATCTTTGAAGTATTTCCCATTCACTGAAGAAAACAACAACACAGAGAAAATAACTATCCTTACAGGTTGTTCAGTTCTCAGATTCTAAAAGCAGTTTAGAAATCTCACACATTTCTAAAGCAAAGGTATGAAGGAAGGTTTCTTTCCATCCAACATATCCTTTATGTATATAAATACACTTTTTGGATTAAGACAGAAAGTCCTACAAAAGCAGTATTTGCATCACCAGTTGCACACACTCTTATTTAGAAAAAGTTATTCACAAGATTACATACATTTATGGGAGGGGAAGGAGAAAAGGCACTATAAACAGATTTGTGAGTTGTAAACACATAAATAGAAAGACATTTCACTTCTCTACCCTACATTTTTTAAAAACATTTAAGACAGGTAACATTAATATTCGAGTTTAACACAGGAATAATACAGAGACATTTACAGAGATTTGACAGTCTTCCTCCACACCCAGAGTGATTAAATTTTTAGTTGAAAAGGGTGTGGCACAGAATTAGTCCTACTACTGTAAGAAGATTTACTTCAACTGTTTAGCCTTTGAATCACTCTGTAGAGGATTACTCTTGAAAAGCAAATATTTTCCTCTGGGTATAGCTATAAACCCTTCGCATCATGTGAATCAACATCAAACAGACATAAAATATCTTAAGGCCCTCTTTTATAAGAGGAGTGAGACAACAATGCTGCCCAGAGAGCACAGTGCAAGACTGTTAACTTATTTTTCTAACTCAAAGACGTATATTTAACACGTATTTTGCTAACAAACAGTGAGTGGCTGTAACACTCAAATTGTTTGGTGCTTATAATTAATTTGGTATATGACTGCTGCTTGAAAGCATCTTTCAATTACATTTTAAGACATAAATATTACTTCAGACACTTCTTAATTACAATTCTGATGAGGATTAAAGTCAAAAAGGGCTAATCATAAAATTGTGATTACACTGAGAACAAACTAAACTCAAAAAAACTATTTTATATCGAGTCTCTTTTTTATTCCTTCTAAAAAGCTTGTCACAGGTAAATGTGCATTGACACACTGAAAAAAACTTTTAAAACACTTTACAGTGTTATTCCATTAACAAAAAAAAAGGAACAGAGTTTAAAGATGTAATGTACTGGAGTTTATTTAGGTTATATCACAATGTATATGTAAGACTTTATTAATGAAAAATATTCTTACCCAGAAGATCCAATGCTTTTGCACACACCAAGAAGAGGCCGCTTCTCAGAAAAATTATCACATTTCTGAGCACCTAAGAAAGCAAAAGCAAAAAAGAAAAAGCAAATCACTATGTACTGTTTGTGTTACCTTTCAAAGTACAGGTATGCATGTTGTGGGGGCCCAACCTTATTGGAAGGATATTGAATATATAATACAAAACTCACAGTCTGTACAAGTTTAGTGATAGAAATACGAATGACAGGCAGAGCCACTAACGCTGGAAGAACTGTTCTTGAAAGAGACAGCAATGAGTAACAAAACAAGTAGCAAAATCTGGGCAGGATTTTGGAGTTATTTTCTATTCATTTCAGTTGGGATTCTGTAACTGTAACAAGTAACACTTGCTCACTTTTCATTGTTTTATAAAAGCTGTCTGCAATAAGGCTGTCACCAACTCCGCATGGATTTCACACATTGGTTTCCAATTTATTCTGCCGAGGTGTAAGTGGAGTATGAGAGCGTTGCCCGTAAGAGCGCAGCGTAAGAGCAGCCGCTCTCTTCAGCACGTGAGAAGCTGGGCTGCCAGTGTTTCCCCAAAGCACGGCCATGCTTACAGCCCATGCCCCGTGCCTAAGAAAATACAAGATTAAATTCAAACCAGTCTTCAGTAAGTTCCACCATCAAGCAATTTAAGCCTTTAGGAAAGCAACCTCCAGCGAGACTAGTATGCCTGCTCTTCGCTCAAAGTGGAAACACAACTCTAACACCATATCCAATCTACTTTTAAGGTTAGCTTCACCACGTAACACCAGCACATCCCCAGCAGCAGCTTGGCACGGGCTCGTCCTCTGCTCTAATTCAGCCTCCGAGACAGTTCTGCCTGCCCTGGGATCCGTGCGTGCCGCCACCGCTGGCACTGGGGCCCGGCAATTAAAACCAGCTGTTCGTCTTCCCGCACCACACTCACACCTTCACTCCAGAACCATCCAACTGTTAAATACGCCCACACTTCTTCAAATGGGATTTTTAAAAGTTTTGAAAACTTTGCCTTATTGCTACATAAACAGAAATAAAACTGAAATTGAGTCCAAAAAAAAAAAAATCTCTCTTCTACTTGTGAACAATGTTATACTCAATTCCAGGGTATGTTTCTACCCAACTTAAATAACAGTATAACAACCAACAACAACCACATTACTCAATTTCCTATGTTTTCTTCCAATCTTTGCCTGTTTAATTATCTGTCTATAGGTATGCGTGTATGTGGGGAATAATGGAATGTTTTGGGTTTTTTCTCTCCACTATACACCGAACGCTTTGATCTATAAAGAATATTAGTGATATAGTCTGTTCAAAATTCACAAATACTGGTGTACTGCACTAAATCAATTATTCAGAAAGGCACAACAATTAACAATATGCATTTTCACATAACAGACCCTGTTAATTATTAATAACTCAGGTACATGCAATTAATTTGTAACAAAAACTGTTCAGTACTCTCATCTGTACAAGGATAAGTCTTCCCTCCTACACATTTGGGTATTTATAAAGTCAAATGGGTCACATCAATAATTTCACCATCAACAATAGCTTTACAAGTAACCTAAAACAGCCAAACCTTTTCCTTTTATTCCTATTATTTCAAGGTCTTTCATGAGTCATACCTGTACTGTACGTACTGACCTGTAAATTGATAAATGAAACATACAGTCTTCTTAATAATATGGCAACCAATTTGTTTTCTTCAGTACAAATAACAGATGAACTCCATTTGTTTCTGCTCACTTAGCTAGTCTCTCAGCGTGAAGGATGAAATGCTGACTAGCAGGAGTTCTGACATTGATTTAAGTGGAGCCAGGATTTTACCTTAAGTATTTAACTGTACTCTTTTTTTTTTTCTTTAAGATATATTAGAGACATGAATTCATATGTTTCTCTATTGTCTACTTCTAAGTAGACAAGGAAGGGGGAGCAACAGGAAGAAAAACGGTGGGGAGTACAGTGCAACAACTGCAGAAAAATCAAAAGGGATACCAGTTTTTAATAGCACAGTACAATTTGCAAAATTTGTTGCACAAGAGGTGCTTAAATTTCTGATTTCAGTCTTTAATGACTAAGGCCCTCATCTAAAAACAAAAAAAAAATTAAAAATCCATTTTCTACTTCAAACATATACTTTCAGAATGTAAATATTAATACTGTAGAAAAGGATCATTATTTTGAGGACTCTGCAGAGCATTAAATCAGGTTAATAGCTGTCCCATTCATGAGATTGCAAAAAAGCGACATGTGTTGTTCTCTGCAATGCTTAATGGAGGCAGCAACCGCTTCTAGTTCTGTGGTGGGATTTAATCTTCCAAGTTATGGTGGATTAATTTTTATTTGTAGAATTGTGTTTATTTGCATGTGCGATACTGACGTTGTACACACCTGCTCCACACAGTGTTTAACAAAATGCAGTTGGATGATTGAAATGAAAAACAGCTCGCTAAATCCCTCAAATACAAAAAGTATTGAAATCCTGTTGCAAAGTCTTTTTCTTAAACTCCTTTTATTCTAAATCCTTTTAATTCTGTCATATAACACTACAGCATTTATAAAAAGCTGAAAATCCCGACAAATCACACAATTAAAGTAATGAAAACTGCCCTTCCTGCCAACAAGGCACCACCTTATCTACAGCTCCATTTAGCTAAATGATTTATGGTTTTTTTAAAAAAAAAAATAAATCTAACTTCAGTCAGTATACTTAAAACTGATAAAAACAATATCTGTGGCTAAATAAAATTTCATACAAATCACAATTTAGAACTTTATGAAGTCAAAAGGTTATCCACAAATAAGCTCAAAGCAGCTTATGCAGTGTACTTCTGATGAAACTGTGAATAGATATCTCTCAATAACACCAATAATAATAATAAAAACAGCAACACAGCAGCAGCACATCTTTCTGAAGAAGAAAAATGAAGCCCCAGTGATTCTCACAGGAACTCAAAAGCTATTCAAAACGATGAAAAGGACCCTCGTTTCCCTTGAATAAGAACGTCAAATTCTGACCTGTTTAGCAATAGCATCATGGAGTGTATTTTTCTGGTATGCAATTCCACTGATCAAGTTCCATCACAGCCATTTAATAACGCAGGGCATCTCCTGTTCAACTAAACCCCTCTTATTTCTATCTGTTACTTGAAAACTGAGTTGCATTTGTTGTCCTGCCCCACGCCAGTGTAGTAGCCCAGCAATATCTGGAAATTCATTAGGCCACATGGTTGGCATCCACTGTGTACAGTTTGCACTCCCTATTTTGCTGCTTCTTTTCAAGGGGAAGATGACAATAATGATTTCTTAACATTTCTTAATCACTACCATTTTGTGTCTGCTTTGTTACTGAACACAAATGCAAAAAAGTGTATGTGCTCCTTAAAACAGAAGTGGAGAGGCTCGAGTCAGTCCTAAAAATAGCGTGTGAATTCTTTCCTCAGCTTCAGGGTAGCATCTATAAATGCTCCATTTCCTGCACAGATGAGCTCTAACTGCATTACTCAATATCATGTCTGATTAATGGCACTGCAACCGCTGTCCTCATCGCAGAACTTCAGGTGTTCCTTTAGGATTAATGTTGCAGATCGCAAGCAGCACATTATTCCATCTCAACTCCCAGCAGCACCCAGACCTTTCTGGTTTCCAGGTCCCTCTCCAGCACCTGCATCACCATACCTGTTTCTCCCGTGTCCCGCAAGTGAGCGCCCTAGAACCCCCTTCAACTCCAGTTGATTTCTGTGTCTCCTGCCTCCTCAGCCCATTCCACCTCCCATTTCTGACATAAGACAGCAATGTTGCAAGAAGCAACGGTGGCTGAGGAACATTATCTTGGCAGTGCTGTCAGAGACAAAGCTACGTGTGTTTATAGAAAGTTGTTTTTTCCTCTGCACAGCACCCTAGTTTTATTCTCTGATAAATATGTAGCTTCTATTTTTAAAAAAAATTTTTAAAAAAAAAAAAAAAAAAAAGGAAAATATGACCTTGAAACATATGCTGAAGATCAATGTTTCTAGAGTCACACATTAATTAAGGCAGGCACATTTTATTTTGACTGAGTCGTGTTCAAAAAAAACAAACTTAAAAGACATCTCAGTCTAATATGGTAAAAGTTTAAGGTGTATTGGTCTAAAGCACTGGGATGATACGGCCAGAACTGAAATGGTGACATACAGGTCAGTCCACACAGCTTCAAAGAAATCGTTATTTAAAAATGTGCTCCAAAATTCTTCCCTATAATATCTCTAAAAGCCTTACTCGCTACACTTGAGAATTCTGTTCTGTAATTTTGATAATCCATACACATTAACATTCATTACACCATAACAACCCACATAACAGTTACAAAACGCCAGAACTGAAACGCACACCTGCGTGACCCACTCACACCATCCAAAGCCAGCTCCCAACTGCTACTGCAGGGCTAGCTCCTCCACTCCACATACTATGCAATTATTTTGGCCTTCGGGGACTCAAAACCACTAAGCCACCCAAGTGGTTGAGTATATACAACACTCACATCTGCCTTCCTTTAGAAAGCAACCTAAATATTACAGTTCTTTTTAAGTATACCTGCACGTAAAGCTGAGTCAGCTTTTGAGGTTCAAATTTTATTTTACAAACATCAAAGGTGTAAGCAGAGGAGTACAGAGATAAATCTGCTGTAGAACTTAAACTTTCAACAGTTTTAGATTTTCGAATGCAAAACTACTCTGTGTCCCAAATAATTTTAGCTTTTCATGTTAATTCTAGTTTTCAACCCTTCATCTGTAAGTTTCCTTTGGTTCATGGTTGTTTTAACCATAGTACCTCTGAATTCTTTTATTTCCTTTCTTTTTTGCTTTTTTTTTCCTTCTCAATTTGATGAAGCAGTCAAATTCACTGAGATGTAGGACTATTATTTCATCTTTTTTGCAAGCAGCATAATCTAGAAAATGGCAATAAATTAATTCATTCAATGCTGAGACAGGGAAATAGGTTTTAAAAACAATGACCGATCTAAACTTCAGCACACAAGCCTCTCATCATACACCCTTTAACGATGAATTCCTTGTTTCTTGATTGACTCAAACTATGCAGGTCTAGCTTAAGTGGGACAGCACAAGGCAGAGAGCAGGTATTTGGCCAGGGCTTTGTAAAATGACCTGGGATAAGTAATGACAAATGGGAGACTGTAGCACTAGGTTGCTTCAGAAAGCAGCAATATTCTAATTTTGTAGAAAATAGCAAAGTTATCTGAAGAAAATGTATTTTTTCCCTAGCAGAAGTGTACATGCGACAGACCTCAAAATGAAGCCAAAACACAAGAAATTTTTAAAAATACTAGAAGGGTTCTGAACCTTTTTTTATTAATGACTTCACAGGTCAAAGAACACACAACTGCTGCAGAAAGCCTAAATAAGTAATATTATTAATGTTTCTATAAATATCATGGAAATACTAAGCAAAAGAGAAGAAGCATAGGAATATCCATAGGAATATCCAAGACAAGAATACTGAATAATAAACAAACCTCAAACTCGGTATCATTTCAATTCTACAAGTATGTGTTCATGCAGTCAGTTACCCAGAAAATGAATAAGCATCATTTGAAGGAAGTGGTGAAAAACTAGAAAACATGTTGAACAAAGACTATGAGGGATTAGGTGAGTGTGGTTCAACAAAGCCATTAGGTGTTGTGTGAGAGGAAGCCCAAAACGGAGCAACTGGAGTAGCAGTGAGGACATCACAAATCTGGATGACACAAAATGGAGAGGCGAGTGAATACACCCTGATATATGCCTGGTTCTCTCACCGTCATTAACTACAGTGATGTTACCAACCACAGTTTCTTCTTCACAGAGAATGGCAGCTAAATTTAACTGGCAGAATTCCAGATTTGTTTCTTATCTAACACTGCGGATTTTTTCCCTTTTAATAATCACGAAGTCACAGCAATTTTGACTTCAAAGACATCTTTGCCAGCTTGTTTTATCTGAAGAGACAGAAAAAAACAGAGCCCAGCAAACCAGACACCTGTATACCTATAAATAAGTACTAAACTCAATCCCAGCATACAGATTTGGGAGTGAAGAAGAGCTAGGCAAGTTAAAAAGCCGTGCCAACCAGATGGCTCGGCAGATAATGCAGCATGAGGCACACGAAGTGCCAGGACTTAGTATTCTTATTTCTAAGACTGACAGCGTCCAGACAGAGATGTTCTCATACTCTGAATATTAGATGCGCAACTCTTATCTCCTCTCTTAAGCCTGAAATTTGGTCACAGTGTAAACCTTCAGTCTCCAAAAAGGCCGTTTATATTGCAAGCTGTAGAAAATAATCCAAGCTATATCTACTGTTGAAGGCAACAGTCTATATTCTCTGGCCACAGAACACATTTTTCAGTGTTATTTACAGAAATCTCTCAATTCTTTGTGGACGTCTTATCCGAGCTGCAGACCAACCGTGCCACAGACACAGAGACATCAAAGTGCTGCAGTGCTGGGCCAGGTCAGATCTTGCCTGGTTTGTTAGCTCAGACCAAAACCCTGCGTGAACACTGCAGTGGAGCTGCCAGGTCAGAACAGGAGCCATTTAACTGCTCTAGCATGGCACAGAGCCTGAGCTAATAAACCTCACCGGATCCAAGCTGGCAGCGTGCAAGGCCAGCTCCAGATACTGCACCACGTTCCTGGAACCAGGACCACTTATAACCTGCTAAATCAGATTTGAGGAGGTCTCCTTTGCAATAAGCCTGCATGAAATAAGCCTGTATGAAATAACTCTTTTGAAACAATGCTTTATTATGCTATGAAGCACATGATGCAGCAGAGGATCTAACATCAAAGGACTATAGTATTTTAACAAAATAGTTGACAAACTATTAAGTTCTGCTACTGTAAAGTCACCAAGTTAAAACCACGAGCTTTCCTTTCACACCTGGGAATGAGCTGCTTATCACAAACTAGGATCTGTTTCTAGGAACGTGCCAAATCCATCCACCAAGAGGGTCCTATTTTCAATAATTCCCTTTTTACAGCTTTACAGTAAAATAGTGTTTGAGCCTACTGATGGTAATCAGCTTCTCCTTTACAAATTCCTTTTATTTTGTTCAGAATCATTAAAGCTCATGTGTTAGTTATCTAAGGCCTCTTATTACAGCTTTACTTTTATCTGATTCCAGATACTGGTCAATGATACATTCATGTACTTTTAATCAAAGATTTATTTAAACCAAGCCATGTAAAAAGAGACCAAAACATGTTTTTAAAAGGTTTAGCTTAATTTAATATGAGCTAATTTGAATAGGTTTCTAATGCAACAACTATCATTGTCAGATGTTAAATATACACAATTTAGAGACAGACAGACAGTAACTGCTTGAAGGAGTTCCTAAGCAGTGTAATTTACTAGCTTGAAAAATCAGAAAGCACTATTTTACTATCAGGAAAAAAAAGAATTTATAGGTTCTTCAATTAATTTACTTCATTTACATTTTTCTTTCTCTTTTGTTTTTCCTTATAAGAGAAGAAGGTGCAGAGACATCTACTATTTAATGACACACATAATAGCAAAAAAAACATCAGAAATTATGCAGTGTTCCCATAAACAGAGTAAAAGGCACAACACACTTGTGAAGTGTTTTGCTTTACATTACTTTAACCTATAACTGTTACACAACCACATATACTCACAGTTTGTCTATTTTTCTGCTCAGGAAATCACTAAGGTGATATAAAATGTGTGCATTAAACCTTTATCTTTCTTCATTTACTTTCTTTGAAATACTCACAATTATTATCATTTACTGTTTTTTTGTAATAATTTAAACAGATTTTAGGCTATATTTTTTGAGTTCACTAATTAAATCATAATCTACTACTAAAATCTGTAATCCAGTATAATCCCAAAACCCCTTGGTCATGCTAGAAGTACATTCTTTTCATCCACAATTAAAAAAAATGGCAACAAATTTAAACTAGAAACCCTCCTCAGTAGCTGTACAGAATGGGTTGCCCAGTTGAAGTTACAGGGAGGGTGGATAAGCCTAGAGTTGCCAAAACCAAAAACGAACCAGGACACCAACAGGTTTTAGGTCTTTAAGAAGTCTACAGTTAGATACTGTGTTTAGATTGAACAGTGTTGGTTTTTAAAGGGATTTGTTTGTTTATGCATAGTTGTTTAAATCTTACAGCAAGCTCTTCCGCCGGGTTCACTCAGAATTTCTGCAACAATCCTGTTAAACAAGCTAAGCAGCTTGTCCTCAAACTTGATAAAACAGTATTTAAGCAGTAAAAGAGAGGAGGTGCCTATGGGCACTCAAGGGATTGTGATATAGGTTCAACCACTAAAATGATCAAACCGTTTGAATAAAGTTTACATAAAATAAGCAGAAGGGCAACAAATCAGAAGCTAGTACCACCCCAAAAAAAACAAATTCCATTGTCTCATTACTTTTACTGAAGTGGAAAAGCAGTCTTTTAAAAAAAACCTCAAGAAGCTGCAATTGCTGAACTTAATGCATACGCTAGCAGACGATTTAAATCATTTAACAGTTTACAGAATACTTTATATTTTCTTCATAATGAAATATTTAAATAGTCAGAAAAGGACATTTTTTCCTTGTACAAATTATTTTCCTTAAATCAACTACCTTTTGCATTCTTTCTTACATTGTTTCAGCCTCATGTCCTGAATGGGTAACAAAAAAAAAAACATCCTATCCTTCTAATGAGTTCAAGAGCTTGGAAGGGCACCACATTACGAACAAACTCTACAGTGCACTAACAGGAGTTTTTAATAAATGTTATTAATTTCTAGATCTCCTGCTATCAGCCACCACCCTGCTATTAACAAGTCATTTCAATATTATAATGATAAAATATTGATAATAAATGTTTCCAAATAGAATTAACATCTCTGGACTGATCTCTGAGCACAGGTATACCTAGATATCCTTTAAACTACAAAAGGAAGCAACAAATCTGAAGATGAAACTGGAGAAAGCACTAAATTACAGGGTAGGAGGAAAAAATAATACTTGCAGAAAGCTATTACAAAGGTGACAGTTTAAAATTAATGAAAAATAATCTAAGTATCAGGTTATAGCAATGATTTGGACCAAGATCTGTAAAAAGAGAAGTTATACTTAATTATGAACTATATAAATATCTACTTACTGATTTGTGGAGCTGGTAAAATCCGTGCAGCTCGAACTGGACCGTGGCGGACAGAAAAGAGTTCCTGAGCTTCACCACTGATCTGCAAAACGTACGGATTATGAACATACAATGTAAAAAATATATGTACTTATAAACATATATATTTAGAAGGTAAGAAAGTAGGTAGAAAGACATTGTACAAAAGGCAGGGAAGAAGGTAAGTTGGTAAGACACTGCCTTTCTAACCAACCATCTGCAATTTCTCTAAATGAGAATTATCCAGGATAACACAAATTATAGCAACAAAGATGGCCTGACTCTAAAAACACATGCCTCGGGCTGTGTGAATGAGATACCAGCACTATCTACTATTAATGGCTACATGTTTTAGAAGAAACAAGACTTGAAGCTGAGTGCTGACTAAAATTCACAAAAATTCAAACCATCTGAAACACAAGAATTTATTCTACATATTTCACCGTTCTAAGAAAAATGCTAACTCACCAATGATCAAAAGTGGCAACCACTGGTGGTAAAAGATCAGAGAATTTGATATAATCGGCACATTCCATACTCTCCAGGTGTGAAAATTATGTGTAAAAATAGGGGGTCAAACTAATTAAGTTTGTCACCAACGGCAGTCTTGAAAAGATTAAGAGAGAAGTAGTTAAGTACAATTTCCAGACTTCCTGTACATGGTCAGTCAGAATACATTTTCATAACTGCCTGGTAATGGATCCGATACGGAATGTCAAACTTGAGGAAAATGGCAAACATTTATGAAGCTCATTTCCAAATAACCAACAACTTAAAACAGATGTAATGAGACGAAGAACGTAGAGGACACATTGGCATCAATTTTTGCCAAACAAGGAGCTTACAATATTAGAAGAGAACACAATTTGGAACCAGGTTCTTGTGAATCTGTAAATACAACCTAACTTTTTGAAATATCATTTCATGGCTGTTCCTATTTCTGCACTTCAGCTCACACGCTGAAAAAGTTGAAATACTACTTCTGTTTGACCAACAAATCGTTAAGTATAGTACTTCAGACTCTTAGCTTACTTTCAGTCTTAACCCCAAGCCTCCTTTTTATCACTGCTTTAGATAATGGGGACAAAATGAAACCCACCTCACTGACGCCCAAGTCTTTCATGAGATTACTCTGAAAACACTATTTACTACAGAGGTAGCCCAACATTCTGTACACACTAAATAAAAACAGAACGTGGAGAACTCCTGTTTTTCCATATTACGCCTGAAATAACACTCAAGCTACACAACTGTGGGTAAATAACATTCTTAGCCGTTTCAGATTTGCAGACAACTAGCAGTTCCACACTGGTATAAATCAACATTACTGTTAATGATGTGATCACAATTATTCCTGATGGACACTGCAGTTTTAGGACTGTAATCAATATGAGAATTAATCCCTTAGTCTACCCTGCTCTTATTTTATTAGGCTGATGTTCCAATCATAGCAGATTCTCCTCTCCCAGCTAGCAGCATCATTCAAACAACATACAACGTTGTAGTACTCCAGCTTTTGCAAAACAAGTTTAATTCTCCCTTGGGGACAGCTAGAGGCCTCTGCTCTGAAAAGCTTGCTGACCAGATTCTATACAAGACAAAAGAATGATGATCAGAAATCAACTCAGTAGAGGACTGCTCATCTGTTTTTAACTGATCATGAGTTGAGTGCAGTGTGTAAAAAAAAAAAAAGCACATAGGTAAAAACATCTGCATCCAGAAGAGACAGCTTGGGAAAAAAATAGAGCACAGCTAAGCAGAAAATAAGAAAAATTAAAGAAAGAGTAATAAAAGAGATGAAAAAAAAAGTTAAGACAGCAGCATGTTTTCTATCCATCGGAACACACCAGCACTATGAAAAGAGAAAGGAGGAAATGAAGAAGAAGAAAAATATAAGGCTTTGGAACTATTATTATTGGCAATTAACGATTTTTTCCCCCAAATCATGAAAATGCTGTTTCACATGTGTATGCACATCAACGACTATGAATGAAAACAAGAGGGAAAAGAACTAGCATAACAAAAGTATGGAAGAAGTGATTCACATAAAATAATCCAACCCAATTCAGTCACCTCCTCCTACTTTTTAACGACGCCAGCACATCAGCTCTAACTCCAATCTACTTCAAATAAAGTTATAGTCCCAAAAGTAAGATACACTAAGAAGGCCAAACCTTCTCCACTCGGTTTCTGCTCTTAAATATACTCAACTCCAGAGAGCATGTTTGTTTAGACTGTGATGCCAAGACCTGGTAGAGCTTACAGTTGAGATTTTCAAAGAAAAGCCTAAAAGAAAAGCCTAAAGTGTACAAATACAAATGAAGCTTATTTATACTTCAGCAACTAACATCAAAATCCCAGCCCAGCTTTTTTCACGCATATAATGCTTTTACTTTGTAATGAATTAATATTATTTTGAAGATAACTATTTTCTCATTTTATACTGGGGAAAAATTACAGAAAGCTAGGTTAAATGGACTAACCAAAGCCACGGGATCTGACGGTGACAAGACTATAGGTAGTTAAACTCCTGTTTTGAGACCACTGTCATGCTTGATACTGCAGTGTATCAGGTCCTTTCCTCTCAGTCTGTGTAGGATTTTTTTTTCCCCCTCCCCAGGAAAGGGGAAACTGTAGAACTAAGCAAAAAAGCAAGTAGAAATTCTGATAATTTCAGCCATCTGTACAGCTCATGTACATAGCAATTGCTGACCCCTGGGAGCCAAAAAGGAACAAATTTTAAGACATACTGCACGGTAGGTTTTGTAATGAAAACCCAAGATGCCACCCAAGCACTGGCATCTCATTTGTAAAGAAAAAGCCAAATTCAGTAAAAGGCACAAAAAAGTTTACAGAAAATATGGACATGACAGTACAAAACGGATCAAATTAAAACACCAGTATTTAACCTACTATAGCTTCATAAAATAACAACAACAAAAAAATCCTTTAATAAAACTAAGTTGTGTGTCCTTAACTGTTCTGTAGAAACAGGAGATGATAGAAGGCATTGGACTTTGTTCTGTGCCATGAATTAGTAAAAGCTTGGTGGTTCCTCTGGGTTGCTTGGCATTGAAAAATGCATTAGGGCTTTAGAGTTCAAGATTTTCTTTGACTTACAATTAACTCACTTTAAACACTACCACCAGTAGAAGCTTCTGCTATTTGCAGTCTTATAAAATTCTGAATTAACTGTGGTTAATGCTAATGCCCTTCATTTACTTACATAAAACATAAAACTTTACTACCATTGCTGAGGCCACGTGTATCAATTTTGACTGAAAGCACCATCTTCAGGGTAGAGAAATTACAGTCTGATCTTCCTGCCAGTTCAGGCCTTATCTCACTCCTGAGACAGGCAACACAGACAGCCAATCTTTTCTGTGAATGGGACACTTATTCCACTAGGAGCTGAAGGGGGACAAGGAACTACATTTAACAGAAGCCCGGCCCCGTCGCTACATGGCTAACAACTTTGTCACTGCCAGTTTGGGTGAGATGCGGGCTGGCAAGTAGAAGTAAAAGGCTCCACATCCCATTACCAGTCCCTTGAGCAGCACAGTCTCATAAGCATAGACAAAATATAAATAGACTTCATGAACTGAAAACAGAGCTCTAAATTCTTCAAAAAGCACCTGTGAAGAAACTAGGCTGTGGCTGCCATTTTGGATTTGATCCAGCTAAGTAGCAAGTCCCCGTGGCAGCTTTCAAAGCTCTTAAAAGTTTTTCTTTCCCATTCCAAAAGCCAAGAATATTTCCAAACAGGTTTCAAGAATTGAATATTAAGCTATAAAAGCAGCTTCAGGTACTCATTCTATGAAAGAGCGAATCCGAACTGACGGCTCCAAGCTGGTCTGATAGAACATTTCAGCTTTCCCAGCGCCCGGTATCAAACCACAAGCCCCAGACCTACATGGAAGGCAGCAAGCAAACAACACGCCGATTCAAAACCTGGCCCCCAATGAAGTCTTCGTTGCACTCTTCCAATCACGACAGATTGAAAGAGGAAGAACTCCTCTCTCCTCCACTTCGATGTCTTGAGCTACTGCTTAAAATATGACAGACCAGAAATACAGCCTACTGGTTAATTTCTGATGACAGAGCTTTATTGTTTGGAGCATACCAGTTTGCACCCATAAAAAAAAACAGAACAAAGGAAGTTTTGTTCACACTAAGGATAACTAATAGTTTCCAACCATAGAAAATGGTTTTCACATGGTGAAAATAAAAAAAAGTCAAACGTACACCAAACTGAAACAAAACTGAGTTCAAAACTCAATGCTTCAACTACTGCGCAACTATACAAAAGGAAACTGCTTTATATTAAAACGGTCACAGAGCACAGGGAAGGCATCAGAAGGGTTGTTTGATTTTTTTTTAATATTCTGATAGATGTTTTAAATATAATATAGATATCATAATGTTTAATATGATAATAAACAATTGACAGATACCACCACAAATCACTGTTTGATATAATCACACTGGGTTAAAAACTACTACCAGTCATCTCGCTACCGAGAGTAAGGAAGGACTGTAAGTAAAAGGACAAATTTTAACACTTCAAAAATTCAAATAGTCTGCTTTTTCATTCAAAACAAATCTCTGTAATTATCAAGGGATCATAAAAATTTAGATGCTCAAGGAATGTTATAGACATCTACTCTAAGGATTTGAATGAAGCATGAAACTGCACCCAGATTTTAAAATTATGACAATGCTAATTGAATTTAAAAAAACAATGAAAGCTTAGAAGTGGTTTTGGTTACAGATTCTTCAACGCTCTCACTTCATTTGTCATATATTTTGAGGGGTTTTAGCACGATTCAAGGCTGCGGGTTCCCTGTAAAATTCTAACCTGGGGGACAGTTCTGCATTGTTTTTAATCATTTCTACACAAAGACAAGAATGACGCAGACAATACTGGAAGCAGGTACAATATGGGTACCACCACCCTTTATTTTAGCTCTGGCCCCATCCAAGGACAGCTACAAGAGATGCCCTTCAGAATCTTCTGTTACCTCTCACCACAGCCTTTTCAAAGGTTGTTGCACATGCTTTTTGTTCCAACTGGTGTAGAGTATGCTAGGAATATAAAACTTTCCAACGGTTCTGCAGTCACTTCATGAGTGAAAAAACAGAAAATTTCTTACACATCGCTAGCATCCTCAGTGTAAAAAAAACCCCAAAGTCTCTGAAAATTATTTGCATGGATGTTTTTTGTAAAGGCCTTAGCCATTTTTCCAGGGTTACAAGGTCAGGTCATTAGTACGTTTTTTTCCAAGTGGCTAATACAAGCCTTAACAGTGGGACCCTCTATCAGGAGGAGGTCCGGACAGAGGAAGGACTGCAGCTTACTATGTGATAAGTGACCAGTCCTTTTCCTAGCTGTAAAAGGATGAAGAATTGCAAAGGGGAGAGAATTACAAAGATCACCACATGGAAACCCCAGCAGACAGGGCTTTTGATGAACAGTCAAGAAAACAAAATGGAATCGGCTCGTCCCATCTGCTGTGCAACTGCAGCTTTAATAACTTAAAAATCATAGTCTTATTGACAGCAGCATTTAAAGAAATTTAAGGTCTGGCAGTGGAGAAATGGCAGTGTGTGATGCCATCCTCGTCCAGCAAGTCCTCTCATTCCAGAGGGCTCCACACGGAAGTCACCTACCATAGGGGCTGACACATCCCTTCAGGCTGTGACAGCATCATTCCACCACAGCCTTTCAGTATTTTTGACTAAATATACATCTGTGCTTGTTATTAAAAGTTCCCTTCGGTAGTTCCTACTTTGTTGAACTCGGGCTTGATCGTCCTTTTTTAATTGTAATATGAACCATCAAATTAAGATGATTTTTCTACTTTTGAAACTTCCAGCACACAAAGAAAAAAGAAAAAATTATCTGCCGCAAAACCAGCCAACATGCATTTCCCTGAACAGGAACATCTAGAACAGATACTTGGAAACCACATTAGGCAGAAACCAGTTCCAACTGTATTTGAAACATGAAACTGGGAGCAAGGGAAAAACAAATTCCAAATAAAACACAAAACTACACTGCACAATTATCAAATAGGAACTTCTAGTCATACTTTTGGATATTCCCAGATTTCTCCCCACTTAGCGAGGCATATTTAAAGAACACTTTTAACCTTCCCAACCCCATTTCAAAACAAAGATCAAAGAAAAGTCGTTTGGATGGACACCTTCCGCTTCTTATGCAATACAGATTTAGACGCTGCACTTCAAAACCCCAGCCGTTACTCCAGCACCCAGCAGTCCAAACATTATTCCAGCCCTTTGAAGCAGCCCTAATGGTATCTTCCATTTGCAAGTAACACTTCTGTAGTCAAAGATCTTACTCCAAGGAGATGTTAATGTGAAACCACTCAGACTGCAAAGAGACACACACTCCTGGAGGCAGACTGCAAAGGTGTTTAGAAGTCAATGTAACACCATTACGGAGAGTGTCAGCTTAGAAGCTGTCATAAACACTTCATAATCACTCAGACACAAACTGGACTGCCTGCAACACATTACTTTATTAAGTGCTGAATAGAGGTTCAATTGTACGAATAAAAAGCACAATGCTACAGATAACAGCCTGAGTAGATTTTCACATAAATGTCAAATTGTTGCTTTTTTCAGAAAGGTTTTTAAACTAAAAATGGGGTTTTTTTTCGGAATAACTGGACTAACGTGTTTAATTACAAGCTAAATACTCCGCAAGGTCAAGAAGAAAAGGTTGTATAATACCAAAGGACACAAAACAGTGTTGCCAAATAAACTCTAAATATTTAAAGTCAGTCACCCTCACTTATTAAAAATACCTCTGAAAAAAAAAAAAAAAAAAAAGTGAGATGGAGAAACAACAATGTGGAAGAAAAATAGTTTTTGTTGCCTCCAAATTTGTCACATATATAAATCCTGCTCTGAAAAGCTATTTAAAAATTGATATTGAAGACTATCAATCTGAGAAGCTCTCTAAAACCACGTTAGTAAGAAAGGAACCATTCCAACACTGAAATTACACTAACAAATACAAACTGCATGGGTGGAAGCTGTACCTCCCTGGACATGGTCTCAGAATTTCATAGAATATACAAATAAAGGGCTGACAAAGCAATGCAATATCTCTACAGCTGACATTCTTAAGATGGATGGTAAAATATTTCCACATTTGTCATTTTTTCCATTTCACTGGACTTTACCTCACTTATTAAAAAAAAAAAAAAAAAAAAAAGGAACGACATTAAGAGAAACTGTCCTGCAATTTGATTTTTCTTATTTTTTCCTAAAATATTAAACACTACCAAAATCTAGGAATTATGAAGTAAAACACAGTGAGGAAAAAGAACAACCTGGCTGTATTGTCCTACTGAAAAAGGAGATAACATCAGGTACTCTGCGGCTTAACTTGTGTCTGAATTCAGACACACGGGGGGGGGGGAAAAAAAAAAAAAAAAAAAAAAGAAAGAAAAAGAAAAAAAACCCCACCCACAAACCCAAAGAAAACCCTTCTTTGCCACAAAGAAATGTGTAGAAGCTACCTTGTACTAGCTGGCTGACAGTACCAGTAAACACACATAAGCCAGTTTAACTCGTTTGTTAGCAATCTCCATCAAATTATTTCATGTTTACTGCGGTGTACACAGGGTATGAGTTTAAATGTGGTCAGTTAATGCAGAACAGGTTACACCGAGGTAATGTGTTCACGTACCAAAGAACTGAAAAGTCTCTGACGTGTATAAGGAAAGCAAGGATGAAAGACCCCATCCTACAGAGGCTTTCTCAAGGGCATTGCTAGAGATAGCTCTGACAGAGACTCGCTTTCATTCGGACACAGAAAGTCACTTACCAGGGATGCACAGACCTCACCTAACCACAAAGCAAGGGCATGTTACACACACACAGAGGAAAAAAAAACAATCTCTGCCAGGCACAAAGCTCTTCTTCTCATAGAGGGGCCAGGATAAGTCCAGCACAACACACTTCCTCACATTTTTCAGAATACACGAGGTGATTTGGATAAGAAGGTTTCAGCAGGATAAAGTCAGCTGGTTTATAAAAATTCTTTAGCTTAAGTCTGTGTGACCACTCACAGTGTCTTAACTAATTGATCAACTTGTGCTATAACTTCTGGGACTGCTGCAATTGTTTTTCCTCTCTTAGCCCAGTATCTTAGTGACACCTAATGTTTGTTTTCTGTAATACACTTTGAAGAACAAAGCAAAGCCTTTCTGAACCATTTTAATAATCCGATTTGTACACTAATATAAAACCGATCCGGCTCCAAAACAGTGTACAAAACTAATTACATACTGTAAAAACACATTCTTAGTATTCAAAGTCATTCCAGTGTAAAAGCAGATTTAAAAAAAAAAAAAGTGGACAAGCATACAGTGGAGTGGACATACAAGCAGATAAGATTTCCTGTATTTCGGTTAAAATGTTCCAAAATTTTGCTTAAGGTTCCTACATTTAACTAAAAAGATACTAAATACTGAAATTCAGTAAAGTATACTAGGTCTTACTTCATTTCCACTAAACCCTCCTTCAAATGCAAAAGCTCAGCAGGTTTTTTTCTTCCTTATCTCCGGCTAATATGGAACCAAGAGGGAAAATCCAGCTCTCACACTCCAGTGAAATTTTTAACTTAAAGTTTAGTGTACTGGTATATAAACACAAGTAATAAAAAAAACATATTTCTAATACCACCAATGTATTTTACAAAGGGAAAGAACTCCATCCTCTCTACATTATTTTGAAAGACAAGGTGTCATAAGCAAATATTTTTTTTTAAGTTAAGAATTTTATGACCTACTGCATTAAACTTTATTCTATAGTTTCAAGAAATTTGGGGGAAATTCCCCAAATTAAGACCATGTGCTTATAAACCACTCTGAAACACAAACTGCAGGGCATGTGTATGACAGCATGAAATCAAACCCATATGCACACGTAGACTTTAATAAAATTAAAATTGCAAATCATGTACATGACAAACATGTGATTGTAAAATACTATCAATGCTGTCATACTTGCATTTCTGGGACAAACAAACTCTTCTTGTATTTTTCCACCCTATTCCTTTCTGTAGGTTAAGATGATTTCTGTCCTTTATGGATTACAAACTATTCCATAACATCAAACTCTACTCCAAATTCGACTCCAAAAATTTACTTAACAGAAGTAATTTGGTAAAAAAACCTCAAATCTGAAGGTACATGAATTCAAGTGTTTGACCTATGCTCAGTATTAATCTTAAGATAAGCATATTACATACAAACGATGACATTGATTGTAAATATTGGATCTTTCCACTTCAATAGGAAAAATTAAACATAAAATATGAAAGCAGTAACACAACGTTACAAACAAAAAAGCCTCTGGCACAGAAGTGAACTCTGTACTTACAGGTATGCTCCAGACTTGCATTCCATCGCTGTATCCGATCATCAGCAGTAGGGGTGGTTCATTCCCAGTGCTGTGTATTTCATGAAACTCCATATTCCTCGATGTATCTAAATTGGGTTTAAATATCAAAGCCATTATTAGCAGGTGAGGATCAACTGTGGCTGGTGTCAGTTATACGAGATGTTTTTTTTTCTCAATGCACGTTTCTGCTGTCCTAAGTAAAAGCAAGCAAAGTGGTTTAAAATTTTAGGCTGAACCAATACTGAAATATATTCTTTTAGACAAACATAACCGATATGTTAAAGTTTCACAGAGAGCATTAAAATTTAAAATTATGGAGAAAAATTTTCTGAAATACAATGTGGGTTGTCAATAAATACCCCCAAAAATTCTGTAATGTAATTCTCCAGTGATTAATAAAACAGAGCAAACTTTTCAAATAGAGAAAAATTTGCAAAGGACCAACAAAATAAACATTAACAAATACAGAAATTACAAATGCACAGACTATTTCTAGATACTGTATAATTAATCTTCCCATCAACTTTATCACAAGATGAAAATCCCCAGGAAGATAAGTGCTACAGGACATAATAATCAAAAAATATTAAGCTTTTCTTGAGTAAAGCCCCCTAAAACTACATTTTCAACCATGACTGAATGGACAAAAGCTCACTGCAAGCATGTAAGCATCAAAAAGAGAGGAAGTATTTAGGATATATTAGGATGGAGAAAATGAATGTATTCAGGCCCAATCAGATTAGGCTGCATAAAGTAAATTTAAACAGAATATGAAAGATCCTGAAGAATATTCTACGGAGGTTTTGTTATACTGTACAAAAGCACCTAAAGAGGGAATGTCTGAGATATTTTAAAACTAAACATATGAGGACAAGAAACCTGTAAGCAAACAACCCTGAATTAGCCTAAAGCTGGACATAATGCCATGTACAGGTGGCTCCTCCTCCTAAGGAAGAGCGAGTTTGCCTTTTGATGGAGTCAAAAGGCCTATTTGTCCTATGTGGTAGATACCGAACAAAAGTGCAATTTGAATTGAGTCCATCTAGAGCAGGCAAATGAATTTTGAGGCAACAATGCTTATTGGCAACACTGACTGAAATTATTGTACGCGGACCCACAAATCACACAAATAAGCGAGAGAAAATGAAGCCGTACCATTTAAATCTGCGTTTTCAAATCTGACCCAAATGATCTTCTCCTTTTCTTCTGCTGGTGGGGTGCCACTGTAGGCCTGGACAAAAAGGTTCAAATGGGAAAGTTTAATAATTTTTTTCTCCCTCTATGGATCATAGGAGAGAATGTAAGTTAAAAATAAACAGTGATACACATATCCTGTTGTCACCAGCATTCCTGTGAGGTTTTGTTTCAAAAAGAAATGGTTCCGTGGTCAACACACACCATTTCAATATACCTCAACAAGCGTGACATCACTTACTAATGTAGAAACGACAAGACATACAGAACAATAAGTCTTCTAGAGCATGTGAGAAACGCCACCAGACTTACAGCAACTTAGTCAAGCTAAAATACAGTGGCTTCTACAACCTAACTTTAGCAACGTCAGAGGTTCTCATTTGAGGCACTGCTACTCTTAAAATTCTCTTTAATTCACTTAAATGCTTTGTAAGCAAGATTGAGGAAAGAAAGAGACCTTTAACTACATAGTTTATTTTCCTGACATGCGGTAGCTATACTTGTAACATCTTTCATATCGCCATTTAGAAGAGAATAAACTGTAATTCTAGTAGAACAGATCCACGTTTCAGTGCTGTGTACTACAGATTCCCATAAAAAGATGAGATACAAAAAGAAACTGTGAAGGAGACTTACAGTGTTTCCAAACTGCAAGTTTTACAGTTCTCAGGAGAAACTGTGGTAGCAAGAACGTGAGCTACAGTAGAAATACCATCACTTCCAAACGAATTATAACAAAATACTGTGCGGTATTTTGGATTAAATATGAAAAGAGCTTGTATAATCACTTTATCCATGCCAGAAAAGCAATAACATGAACCAAAAAAACACAAATTTAAAAAATAAATAAGTGTGGGTATTACTTTTCAAAACAAATCACATTCCATGCTTCCAAGGCAAACTGATTTGTAAAATAAGAACACAGATTGCATCCGTTAACTACAGAGGGGGGGAAAAATGGGGAGGGGTGTGGAATGCAGAAATCTTTTAAATGAAAGTTTTGACTATTTTTAATTTTGACCATGAGTACAAAATGCATTTCACCAATTGATTATTAGTGAGGGGATTTTTTTTTATATATTATTATTATTGAGGAAATTCATCACTAACTAACCAAGATAATCCTTCAAATAAGAACCAAGGCAACTCCCTGAGGCTACAGACAGTTAGCTGCAATGCTCCTCCACTAGGGACTACAGATTTCCCAGAGTAACAAAACAAAATTAGTTCCCCTCTGGTACTGAGAGGCCCACGAGCAATACGGAAGGGATCGTTCCAGTTTCTCCTGCTACCTGCAGAGCTATGATCAAGAGCAGACAATGAACATCATAGTTATTACCCACAGAGGAAGATCCCAGAAATTAAAAAAAAAATAAAGAAAAAATATTTTAAAAAGTAGAGTGAGGACTTGTGTTTTGCAATGCTCAGCACTCTGGAGAACAACAGGTTAGGCAGAGCTCCACAGTCCCACAACAGCCAGGACATTCTGAGGCAAGTTAAGGAAATAAGACCCAAAAAAGGGAGTAAAGGAGGCAAAAGAAACTTTCTTTTTTTCAGCCAAGGATAGAAGCGAAGGTGACAAAGGGTATCTAACCAAGTTGTTCTAACATCATTTCAGCCAGGGTTCATACATAGGATTCCAACTGCAACCCAGAAAAAACACATTTGTAAGAGGCAGAGCAAGTATTGTGCCCAGCCTCTCCCCTCCCTGAGTATCCTACTGCCAAAATTCTGCAATCTTCTTCCTGCTGTTTATATTGTAACTGTTCAACTTCTGTGTAGCTAAGATTTTAATTATTCCCCACCAGAGGAAATCTGTAGGGCAAATCTCCAGATGGTGTGCAGTCTACACTTTCAAAAACCTGGTGCCAAGATTCATGCTCAAAAAACCCAAAAAGTTTGGCTTCTGTTCTTCAACTATTATTTTGCTCTACCTGACACACGCTTCAATTGCTTCGTACACCAAAAAAAAAAAAATTAAAAAAATTATATATATATAGTTTGGAAGATCTACACGTACCTGTGGCACAACATCTTGAAGAAACGTAACAACACTTTCCATGTACGACTGCTCCCTTGAAAACAGAAGGAGAATTTTAACTACGACTGAAGTTTCAGAAATGGTCACGAATATATTGACAGATCACCAAACACGTACAATCTTTACGACGAAGGAAAATACTAAGTGTGCAATGCAGTTACTTATTTAATATACTGCCAAACACTCTGATAATATAGAGAAGTCTGTAAAAAGCCAAGTGATACTTGTTCATTAATTGATTGGGGGAAAAGTTTATAATAGTTAAGGAAGAAACCACATTCTTCTCATCAGAGTGGCTGACTGTAGTAGAAGAGGCATTTGGAAATTATTATTTCATATTTTTCTACTTGATTTGCCTACTACAACATGAAGACTTAAGGTATAGCTGGGGTTCTCCTTGTAAGTCAACTTTAAGACCTCCTATGCACGATGTACAATGATGTAGTAAGTGGTAGCACTTGGGGCAGGAGATGGAACAACCCCTCACTCAGAATAGTTAGGACAGGTATTTTCAGGTAAGATTTTATAGCTTGGAAAGCTTATTCCTTCTTGGGAATTCATTAGCAGTGATGATTTAGAATGGTATGTAGTGCGAGATATATTTGTTCTGGTAGATTTAAATTAATGCTTTTACTAGCTTATCCCTGCGTAAGTGGTGAGACTCTTGTGTAACTGCTGAGCAACGTACAACATGGGTCGACTGTATCAGACCAAGTTGAAACTACCCAAAAAGTTTGTGCTTTCTGTAATGAGTAATACTGAAACATGCTGGCAGCAAGATCCATCTTCATGAAGTCTGAGGCAATTTTTTTTTTTAATTAACTCTTTAGAAACAGCTTTGGCAGCCCCGAAATTAATTTTTGTACTGGCAGTAATTTTTCCTGTCCTAACTCAAGATTACTAATAGCAACAAAGAAAAACCATGAACTAAGAACTCTAGACTCTTTATGTCTAAAGATACATATGCTTTCTTCAGACTTTCTGAGACTGTGCTAAGATTCTTTTAATAGAAATTTGGAGTGTTCAGTATTTAAGAATTAAGTACTCTGCCCTATACACAGCAATACAGAAGGTACTTCAAGTCAACCGCTGCAACACCTGGATCAGCTTAACTGGTTGACTCCTCTCTGAAAACAAAGATAAATCTAAACCATAAAGTTTTAAATTTTAGAAAGCTTACTCCAACTCATGGAAAACTAGATTCTGTTCAGCAATCCAAGGATTACTGCATCACGCAAAGTTTGCCTCACTGCTTGAAGCCAAGGCCTTATAAATGAGCTGTGGTTTACAGCACTGATTCTTCTTTGATTTATGTAGGTCACCAGAACTGTCTCTGTGTCTCAGAGCCCTTTATTACCTGGCAATAATACTTGTCTACAGGTACAGTATTAAATACAGTGTTTGAAGCTCTCACGTGAATGCCTGCCAGCAAGAGTCATCGTGTCTTCGTTTCTCAGCTCATTTAATGAGTACTTCCCCCCCGCCCAGGTACATCTTGAAACAAGGTTGATGTTCGGGAAATATTTTATTCAGTATATGTACTCTAAATCTCCCCTGAAGTTGAAAAATTTGAAGAAGATATGTTTTAAGTGCTTAAAACCAACCAAAACAACAAGACTCACCAAAAAAAAAAAATCTTCTGTTAGTAGGAAACCAAGAGTTTAACATAAGCAGCAGAAAGCTGCTGCAGGCAGCTCAACATACACACTCTCCCATCAAAAATACTGTCATTTTTGAGGTGAAAAGATATAACTCAAGAACAAGCCCTCATATTTAATAAAACCAAAGAGCAGATCACCTTATTCTTACAGTGTGTTTCTATTATTGTTTGTCCAAAGCTTACTTTGAAGAAAAGGTCATTACAAACAGAAACGCATTTGTTAAAAAATTCCGCAACACCAAAAAAAAAAAAAAAAAAGCTTATTCTATCACATGGCTGTAAGAAAAACCTCTAACACAACTTTTTGTGGTACAACGATAGATTTCTTGTGCTCCCTGGACAAAATAAAGCGATTCTTTATGTTGAAATACACAGCCATCAACAGCGGCAAACCATGGGCTGCTGAAACTGATAGTCCGAGTGAACATTTCAGTGTAGTGCCATCTTCCTTTGGTTTTGTGCTCTTAAGCAAAAAAAAAAAATTAGAACGCACGATTCTACTTAGTGATGGACTTAAAACATATAAGCTATCATTAAATATATCCACCCCTGTGACTAGGTATTATTAAAAAGCACGACAAGGAAGGAACACGCATAGTGTTCGATCCTAAGGCAGAAGGTTTGCCATCACTGATATACAGCCAGCACAGTGTTTGTACAGCAAACAACACTGCGTAAAGAAACAACAAAACAGAAAATATTCATCTTTAAAATGCACAGCTTTGAAGGTTTTGGTGTATAAGTGAAAAGCAACCTATTTAGAGACGGTCCAACCTGCACCACCCTAGGAGACAGGAGTGCAACACCTGTTAACTTTCCTGGAAGATACTCCAAGTGACAAAACCATACTGTCAACACAAGACCTCACAGCGCACTCTGAAAGAAAATTCAGGCTAGGTTCTTCTTCTACAAGGATATAAAAACCATTTCAAATAAGGGCTATTCTTCTAGAAGGCTCTTACGTGACAGCTTGTGGCCGAACCACCACCCCTCCAGTACATCGACTAGGGCGGCGCGGAGATTCTGTCGCCATGGTTTCTTCGCAGATACCTGTAAGAAACACATTTCTTCTCAATAATAATTTGTGTCAGGTTTATTACACTAGCCCTTCTCATATTCTTCAGGATGCTAAAAACACCTTGAAACAACTTATACAAACTTATAAAGGCACTATGCCCCTTTACAGCACTTTTTTAAAAACCCCAAACAACCAATTTCCTTTTTCAGTACCTCAAGTCACTACAGCTCCTGCAGTGTATGTGAACACACAAAAAAAACCCAAACCCACAGACCTGCACGATAAAGTGGAGAATTCCCTTCAAACTGTACATTAAAGATAGTGGTACAGGCACACAGTTACCATCACCATTATATGACCATTATTTACTAATGAGCTGTTGCCTTAGAAAATAATTACAGGAAAATAATGTACAATCACACTTGTAGTGTATTGTACTCTTGAAAATCTGTAATGGGTTACACTGAAGCGAACACAAAAAGCGTGATGGAACACATTCCGCTTTTTTCATGTCAGCTTTTTGTGTCGTCTTCGAGTTTTTCCTCGCAGCTCTATCCTCCCATGTGAAAATTCAGTGTAACATTCCTAAAGGCAAAAACCACCTGAGGAGCATCACAGATCCCAGGCAGCTCTTGTCTGCCGTTCAGCCACTCCACCGTCCCCCTGCCCCAAAGCAGTAAATAAAGTGAGAGAAAAAGCCCCAGTGTGGTGTCGGTTATCAGCATCATTTCGCGTTTGGGCAGACTTCATCAGGGCCACCTCATCAGGTGAGGCAAGAATACACACTGAGCCCCACAGAAATTAGTAACAACACATTCAGTGAATGTACCTGGAGTCTGACACGCGTGTCAAGGAACCTTAAGGGAAAAAACGGTACTTAAAGGAAAAAATATCCCTTCCAATAAAAACTGTGGGTTTTGTCTGGTTTATTAAAAGTGAAAAGAGCTGATGTCTGCCCCTCCAGCTGGAGAAGCCCAAGTCTCGAACCGCTGTGAGGAAATGGGGGAGAACAAGGCAGACATTTATGAACGCAGCAGAATTTGATGAAAACTTAAATTGTGCCTCAATGCAGCGGGACACCTGCGCCAGGCGGTGCCCGCCCCGGAGCCGTGAGCGCTGTCACCCGCACCGCAACTCCCACCGCCCGCGAAGCTGCCAGAGCGGGGCTCTGCCGGGCGGGAGCCCTCCCCCGGCGGCAACCC